GGGCCTGGGCAGTGGGGCCTCTGGTCCGCGAGCCCCTGGTCACTGTTCGCAGGAGGCGCTGTGGTTTGCGCTTCCTTGGAGAATATATCGGCTTGCTAGCTGGGGAAGCGTCTTCCTAGAGAGACTCCAGACGTCCTGCGCCCTGGTGATGTGCACCTTGCTGCAAACTTACTTGTAAAGCAGTTTCTAGCCGTGGAGCCCAAAAGTGGGGTCTTCCCGCCAAACATTCGTTGTCTTCTGGGGAAGAAGCACCCCTTCGCCCCGTTTCATTTTTGCTGGCTAGATGGCCATGTAGAAGGTGAATTATTACAATGAGACTGCCCCCACTTCGGTGGATTCTACCGGAGTCGTTGAGATAGCTGTTCAGCGCAGAATGATGGATGGTTTGGGGAAGGTAGAGGAAAAGAGGACATGAGAAAACACCCAAAAAGAAAAGTTTGAATCGGACATGATAGAGCACTCCTGTAATCCCACCGATTCGGGAGGCTGAGTCAGGAGGATCACAGGTTCTAGGCCAGCCACAGCAATTTAGCAAGACCCTATCATAAAATAAACAATGAAAAGGGTTGGGCAAGTATCTTAGTGGTACAAGCGCCCCTGGGAGCAATCCCTAGGGCCAAGTGAGGAGGGAAGGGGGAGAGTTTGAACAGATAATAAGGTAGCAGAGTCCTGAAGCTAATCAGAACTCTTCCCAGCCAGCCAGGAAGACTATCCCACTATTAGTATCCTACTATTCTCTATTCTATGTATCTCTTTCATTTTTTTTTTCTCTCCTTCTTCCTTTTAAGATCCGTGCTTTCTCCTGGTAGTTCTTCCTTCTTTCCCCTTAAAGCACATGGTTTAAGACGACAGGCTCTGGAGTCAGGTTACTGAAATTGAAACCCTAAATTCCTGACTCCACCTGTCTTATTAGCAGTGTGAATGTGAGCAACTTAACCTCTCTTTTCCTCAGTTTCCTCACTGAAGGTAAGAATAATTTAAAAATCTATCTCACGGAGCTGTTTGTGAAAAACATGCACAGGCCCCCAAAGAATTTGTCACCTGAAACTAGTGTGTTTGCCACCATTCTGGTGACACATCTCCCTTAGTCCAGCGAAACAAATTCTGCACAAACCTACAGAAGCTATCAGCAAGTTAAGTTTTCCTGGATTGCTTCCAAGCCTAGCCATGAACACCAGGGAAAGGACCACCGTACCACCCCTAGACGCCAATTTAGGGGCTCCTTGGCTTGTTTGGTCATCCCAGATCGCACCCAAAGAGAGAAATGCAAGACCCAGTATGGTTTGGTCTCTCTCTGAGAGCCTCGCCCAGGTGGCATTATCTGCCCACTCTGGGGAATTTAGAAAACTTCCAGGAAGACCAAAGGAAGAAGAAAGCCATAGGGTGGGACCAAGGCATGTATTGGAAACAAACGGCTGAAAAATTATTCAAATTTGATGAATACCATTGAACTCTATAACAAGGCTATCAAATCAAAAAGCAGGAAATACAACCATGTACTTACAAATGATAACATTGAATAATTAGAAGAATAATTAGGAGATCCTTAGGATCCTAAGGGAAAAAGCTACTAAAACTAGGGACAGGAAACAAGGACAGTGTGACAAAAATAATTATTGTTCTATATACCAGCAAAAAAAAGAAAAAAGAAAAATTAAGTTTAAATCCATACAATATTTATTACCATCCCCAAACATTAACTATATAGGGATAAATTCAACAAAACATGCCCTACACCTGTAACTAAAAACTGTAACTCACTACTGAAAACCATAAATCACTGCTGAAAGAAATAAACAACTATTGCATGTTACCGAGTTGGAAGACTCAGTACTATGAAAATGTCAATTCATCCCAAATCCCTTTTAACTTGGCAAGCTAACTTTAAGAGTTATACGGAAATGTTTGGGAAGAACAAAAATGGAGCAGGTACAGAATTAGTTTTAAACCTTATTCTGAAACTACAATTTTCAATTCAGTGTGGTAGGCATAAAGAGAGACATAGATCGATGAAACTGAATCATAAGAGTCCAGACATAGAACCATCTGTATAGAGTCAACTGATTTCATTCAAATAGTTAAGATAGTATCCAGGTGCAGTGGCACAGGCCTGTAATCCCAGCTTCTGGGGAGGCTGAGGCATGAGAATCACAAGTTCAAAGCCAGCCTCAGTAAAAGCAATTCAGTGAGACTCTGTCTCTAAATAAAAGTGCAAAATAGGGTTGGGGATGTGGCTCAGTGGTTGAGTGTCCCTGAGTTCAATCCTCAGTACCAAAAAATTTTTTAAATGATAAGAAGAAGAACTAAGGTACTTCTATGTAGAAAGTATAATCTTTTAAATAAATGGAACAATTGGATATCCGTATAAAAATGAATCTTGACTCTATATCATAGGCAAATATTAGCTAGAAATGAATGATAGAGCTAACCATAAAAGCTAAATCTATGAAACTTCTAGAAGGATACAACAGAATCTTTATGACCTTGGAGAAAGTAAACATTTCTCAAGTACAAGGGGGAAAAAAAGCAATAATCTAAAAATTTAAAAAAAAGATTGAATTCATCAAAAACGTAAAAATTTACTGTTTTAAAAACAACATTAAAAAGTGAAAATATTCACAATACATTTACCTAAAAAGGAATTTGTATCCACTTATATAACAAATTCTTATAACTCAATAGAACAATCTCATTGTTTAAAATGAGCAAAAAGTTTGAATAGATACTTTACAAAGAAAATATAGAAGTAGTCAACAGGATACGCAAAGGTGCTTGATCTTATTAGTCATTTGGGAAATTCAAATTAAATCCACAATGATATGTTACTACACCACCACTAAAGTGACTAATGTTTCAAAATGTTGGCAAAGATGTAAAACAACTGACATTCTCATACAAGGGTAAAGAGAACACTGATTTGGAAAACAATTTGGCAATTTCTTGAAAATATCCGTATGTATACCTTTACCATATGATTCAGCAATTTTGTTCTTGATATTTAAGAAAAAGAAATAAAAAAATATTCACACAAAGACTTGGATACAAATGTTCATAGCAGCTTTAGTCATAGCACCCCAAACTAAAAATAACCATGTGATTAACATGTGATTAGACAAAGTTTAATGCAATCATACAATAGGATATTACTCAGCAATAGAAAGGAATAAACTACTGTATGTGCAACATGAATAAGCCGCATAAACTTTATGCAGAACAAAAGAAGCCAGACACAAAATATTACATAGTATATGATTACTTTTATGTGGAACTCTGAAAA